GAAATCTCACAGTCATCACTTTCTGGACTTCCCAGACTCTGCTGATTAATCTCCCCAGTTACAAAGAGATCCAGAGGAGTGTCATCAAAACAAATTTTAACAAGAAAAGTTGCTCATCTTGTGAGTTTAGCTGATTTGGTCTGGGGTTAACTGACAGTTACAGTAATCTGTGCTTCTCTCAGATTCTAGTTTGGATCTTATTAGCAAAGTGAGGAATACTTAAAGTAGGGCTCTTCACTTTCAACCCTGTGTGTGCCCAAAATGCTGGGGGGGAGTTTGTTGGATTTTTGGGGGGCTTTTGTTTCATTGGGTTTGGGTATTTTTTTTCTCTGTGTGCACTGCTGAATTAAAAGATTTGATCCTTTATGGTGGAGTGGGCCCATCTTGCTCACAGGGCTCTGATTGTTGGAGAAGTTGCTCAGATACTGCACTCTGTCTCTGTCTGCAGCATTGTGCTGCCTTCTGGCTGTCAGCCAGGCTGCCTTTCTGATTGACACCTTAGTCAAAACAGATGAGTTTGACCTTTTTCCCGTCTTCTTTTTTTTTTTTTAACCCTTTTTCCTCCCACCCCACCCTAATTCTGTCACAGTGTGAGTGACCTCAGTGCACCTAAGATTCTCTTTGCTGGGGGCCTGGCTGGGATCTTCAACTGGGCAGTTGCCATCCCCCCAGACGTGCTGAAATCCCGTTTCCAGACTGGTGAGTTGCATGCCAGCATGTCACAGCCACCCTTAGTGCAGTGCTCCTGGGAATGGGCTGGGCAGGGATGGAAAATGCCATCTGGGAGGTAGCATGTCTTGAGTGCCACTTGAGACAAGTACATGAAAAACCCAAGTGTGTTCCTAGCTTTTTAGCTGGTTTCCTCACAAATTTCTGGCAAATCAGGCTGCGTTTCTCTGTTTCTGCCTCTCTGCTAATACCATGATCCTGGTTTGAGGTACCTGTTTTGAAACCAAAGGGTAGAACTCATAATAATGGAACTGCTTGTCATGGCTGTTTTCTTACAAATGTAATTCTATGAGAGGTTTTGTTATTTCACTTCAGACATAGTTTTATAAATAGTAGCCTGTGCTATCTGCAGTTTATAGTAACTGGAGGTGTCTTGCTGGGAGCATTGCTTTTGGACCAGCAGCTCTGCTCTTTAATGTCTGTGTCCTGATTACAGTGAGGGTGGGCCCAGGCCTTGTGCTTCAGCAAAGTCTGGCAGGTTTTTCATCGTCTTCTCTGAAAGTCCTGTCAATGGATATTTTTGTTAAGGCTCCCCATAGTCTCTATCTGTGGACTCAGCTCTCCACGGGACAGTGACCATCTCTCTGGAGTCACAAATCATGGTAATCAGTGCAGGAAACTTAATTTCCTTTTCTCTGAGCATTGGCTGCTGTGCTGGTTTGGTAGTGTACCAAAGGCCAAGTGTGAAACATGTCACAGCTTTGGTCCTCATTCTGCTGAGCAAATCCCATGGCTGCTGTGTGGGTAATGTGGGTTCATGGGGATTCTGTTTAACTGGGTTGGTTTGTGGAGTACCTGCTCAGAGGCAGAGGCAGTGCTTCCCAGAGCACTGTCAGAAGAAGGAAGAAATTGTTCTTTGAGTAGAATAACTTTTTAAAAACACCTCAGCAAATCCATGTAACAGCATTAAAACAAGCTGCACTTTTCACTTGAAGTTTGTTGCTGTTCTTGGCTGGGGCATGTGATAGGATCATTTTCTGTTTCTTATAAACCAGCTTCATCGGGTTTTTTACCTGACAGTTCTATCACCTAACTGCTGCCCTCGGGAGAGCTGTGATCAGCAGTGCAAGTAACAGCTCAGACTTCCAACCCTGACTGAAGTTATTCTCTTTTCATCCCTGCCCCCAGTGACTTGCTGATGTAAATTCTTTGGTGATGGTGTGACCTCTCTCTCCTTCACTGGGCCTTTATCAAGGTGTTTTGTTTTGTCTTTACTAAGGTGTTTGTTTGTTTATAGCAGTATGAACCTGTTGAAAACCCTGGGCTGTTACATATGGTACATGTGCCACATCCTTCAGCCCTTGTGACTGTCACACACCTTGGCTAATGTGTTGTGTATTCCTTTCAGCTCCTGCAGGAAAATACCCAAATGGTTTTAGAGATGTGCTGAAGGAACTTATCAGAGAGGAGGGAATTGCATCGCTGTATAAAGGCTTCACAGCTGTGATGATCAGGGCATTTCCTGCTAATGCGGTGAGTACACTGCTGTTCTGGGTGGGTTTTGGGGGCCTGACTACTCACAGTGGGTGTTTGGAGTCTGTGGAGGGCATGACTGGCTGTTTATTCTTGTACCATCTCAGCGAGGTTCTTGTCACTGCAAGTACTTTTGGCTGTTGGTGTCCAGGTTCTAAAAATATCCTCTTAATCTAAGAGGATCCACAAGTAGACTTTTCTTCAAAGTTTGCATGAAAGTCTTTTGTTTACATTCTCTGATAGTCTCTCTATTGATTGTACATCCACCCATAGAAGATGGAATGAGTTTGGACTGGCTCCCTCATCAATGAATATTGAGCCTAAGAGAGTCAAAGTCCTGCCTTTGTGCAGAGGTATAGAGTAGAATTCTTGCCTCTGGTCTAACACCTCTTTTGTCCTCTTCCTCCTTCATCAGCCATGTCAGGTGTTTGTTGTGCTGCATTCCAAAAACCTTGTTTGGAATAGGTTTTTAGAATCCTCATTTGTTCTGTGTGTCCTTTTTTCCAGGCATGTTTTCTTGGTTTTGAAGTAGCTATGAAGTTTCTTAACTGGGTTGCACCCGGTCTATGAAGACTAGGAAGTCTGGAAACAAGAGAGGAGAAGGAAGAGAGTTCAAGTCTGCCTCAAAGGAATAAATGAATGATCACTTAAAGTTTCAGGAATAATTGTTTGCCTAATAACTTTTTGCCTTCCTCACATTCTTTAGGTGGTGCTATGTGCTGTTTAGAAACACAAGCTGTAGCTCTGAAACGGAGTTGGTGAGGAGTTTGAGGTGATAGACCTTCTGAGCCAATGTGCCATGGCAGTAATGCTGCTAACAGACAGCTCTCACTGTCACTGTCACACACACTGCCTTAAGTACTTCCTCAGGGAAGGAGACACATCTTAAAATGTAATTCCTTATTTACCAAATGTAAATGCCGAAAACCTTCCTTAAAATAATTGTTTGGCAGCATGTGCTTAACTCTCAGGGCATAAGTCAGCAGCTGCACAATACTAGTGCCTGCAAGCAGTGTCACACTGTTCTCATCTCCTGTAGTTTTTCCGTTGTGGCTGTTTCTGTGCAGACAGTGGGGCTGATCCTCTATGTGCACACACAGCAGCAAACACAGAACTCAGCAGGGAAGGCCAGAGCTATGTTTTGGTGGTTGTTGAGAGGTGTTGCAGGTACCATAGCAGGTCTTGCACACTGATCTTTCCTGTGGAACTGGGACACAAAATGCATTATGTTTAACATTTGTACTAAGCTTTACTGAAGCAGCAAGTGGGGAAATGTTTGATTAGCCTGAACTTTTCTCTGAAATCCCTTTCTGTCCCACTGAAGAGAGCTCAAATGTGATTTCAAAAGTGCAGCACGGTTCATAGCAACCCTTGGTGTACCTGATTCATAGAATCATAGAACCAACTGGATTGGAAAAGACCTCCAAGATCATCAAGTCCAACCCTACTGTGGTTACTAGACCATGGCACTAAGTACCACATCTAGTCTCAAATTCATCAGGTGCTATATCCTGGGATTCAATCCCTGACATTGACCTGAGAAAATTTAACAGCACTTCCAAGCACTGAATTTCTCTGACACAAGGGGGACACATGAAGGGGACACTGGCTCTGCAGTTTTGTCTAACTTTATTCTTGCTCCTGTGCCTTGGTTTTCTCTTAATATTATTAAATGCAATCAGATTTTCATTTGATAAATGACTAACGTGCTGAGAAGCAATAAGCAACTTTAATTTCTTTTGTTTGTGATGCAGAGTTACTGGAACTCAATAAAGCTAGCTGCTGCTTGGCTAGAATGTGTGCTTTGGTTCATTTACTTTGTGCATGGTCATGCATGCTGAGTTTTGCAGAAGTTTTCCGATTCTTAATCCTGAGATGTGATTGGGAAATAAGTTGTGCTGTGCTGTATTTGATTGTTAACCCCTTGCCTTTTAGCTTTCTGATTTCTGACATGAGCTGTGGAAAGGAATGTTCCACACTAAGTCCCATTAGTTGTGTTGCTTTATAGTTAAAACTTGCACTTACACTGAACACGTCTTGTTTGTGGAAAGTACTTATGTTTTCCAAGGAGAGGTGTAGACACAGATGCAGGGGAGATTAGGGAAGATAGCTGTCCTGATGTCCCACAGGAAAGGAGGCTGGGAGTTTGTCCTTGATTTGGCATGGTCTGTTGACCTGTACTGTAAGGACAGTCTCCACCTTGGCTTTCCACAGGCAGATCAGCCCTGAAAACTTCCCACCCAGTAATGCCGAGAAAGCTTAAGTGCCTCTTCTCGTCCCCATTCTTTGAAGTACCAGAAGGGAACCCTCCTTCCCCAGAGTCCACCTCTTGTGTTTGACAGGGTCAGGGGGTGAAACCAATGGGGTGGCCCCTAGTGTGGGAAAATCTCAGTCACTTGGAGCTGCCTCTGCATTCTTGCTGCTGCTGACCCCCCTGCAGCCCTTCCCTGTTCCTCAGTGCTCAGGAGTGGCAGTTACTCCTCAGAGTCACTGCAGCCAGGGATGAATGAAATACTTAAGGCATGAATGCTGAGTTAATACTGGTTTGGAGAGTGGTGATTAAAGGGTATGAACCTCTCAAATGGTTTTAAACACAATTCAGGGTTTACTGAGGCTAAATCCAAGCTAGTTTCAAGTGGATCAGGTCTGCTGTAATGGCTCTGTGCTGCCTCACCACCAAACACTACCCTGTACTGCTTTGGTGGCTGCTCTGGCACCTTTCTGGCTTCTGTCGTGGAGCCATGGCACCTAGGTGCAGCTTCCAGCTTTTAGAAGTGTTATAATGCTAGATCTTTTTCGTTCCATTTTACTTATGTGTTCCAGAAATTCTGACACTTCTTTCTTGTGCATCTTCTTTCTTGCAATTCCAGACACTGACACTTAACACTGCCCATTCCAGTTGCCCTGTCAACTGCAGCCTGCTAAGCTCCTAACCTCCCAGAGAACTGGGAAGAGCTGAGGCAGAATCCTCCTGGCTGTAAGCGCTGCTCTAGTCTGGTTCATGTTGCAGGTACCCACCAGGTGGCTGTCGGGGCTGCCAGAGGGATGGACAGTTCTGTGGGTCCACGGGCAAGGTCAGAGGTTGAAAGCCATCCAGCAGCAGGACACCGGGCCACTTGGGCCAGCTGCAACTTTACAAGTTGGGCTGCAAAGCTTTTGCAGCAGTCAGGATGAACAGACAGGCAGCTGGAAGGCAGGAGACTGTTCTCCCCTTCTGCCCTGCTAGGGAACTGTGATCCCCCAGGCTCAGTGATGAGCCATGCACTGTGGTTAGTGTTTGCTCCTATCCCAGTCCCATCAGTCTGGAGAGCTGCAGACTCCAAAAAACATATCATTCTTGAAATCCAAATGAGAGATTAGTAATGCCCTGGATTCAGGTGCTGCGATTGAGAGCACATTTGGGCACAGAGGAGCCTTCTCTGCTGGCCAGCTGCTGGTGCTCAGCACTTACTTGGCTCTGCTGTCACCAGCTGAGCCTCC